GTATGTAAATGTAAGGACAAAATTATTTTGGAATTTTTTTGGAGTTGGTATAATTCATCCATATTTTTTAAGTAAGATGTCATTTACTGGAGTTTTACAAAAGACCAACATTGTATATCAATTTAAATGTCCTTTGGGAGATTGCATCTCTGACAAAAGTGTTAATAATATGTATGTTGGCTTTATTACAATGATCCTGACAAGAAGGCTTATGATAATGTTATTTTTAACCATTTTTATCTATGTATATTTGCCCGTATAAGTTCACCCTTTCGAAACTATACAACTACTGCCTCAAGTTTTCCTGACTGCTGGAAGTCCTCTTCGATCGTTCCTGTCTTCAAGAACTCCGGCGACCCCTCTGACCCTTCCAACTAATGTCCTATCAGTCTCCTTCCCCTCTTCGGCAAAGTCTTCGAAGCTCTAATCAATACCGAGGTGGTTAACCACCTCACATAATCTGCTCTCAGACAAGCAATATGGTTCCCGCTCTGCCCGATCTACAACTGATGTGCTTACAGCCATCACTGAAACAGTCTACCTAGCTCTCCAAAATAACGGGGAAGCCCGAGCCGTGGCACTAGACATCTCAAAGCATTTGATAGGGTTTGGCATGCGGCCTTCTAAGCAAGCTCCAGGGTTATGGCATTTGGGTCGATTATATAACCTAATACAATCATTCCTGTCAAACCGTGAATTGAAGGTCGTTCTCAACGGATTCTCCTCCAGTTCCTATCCCACAAACGCAGGTGTTCCTCAAGGCTCCATCCTAGGCCCCACTCTATTCCTTATCTACATAAATGACCTTCCTGACGCCATAACTTCCCAAGTTGGCATCTACGCGGATGACACCACAATATATTCCTGCCTCAAAAACAAATCTAGTCTCGCTGACAAAACTCACCTGGCCGTGCGTCTCGAAAAGGACCTCCAATCGATTGTGAACTGGGGCATGAATTGGCTGGTCAACTTCAACGCTTCTAAGACAAAACTGCTCTCTATTAATCACCATAGAGAGCCTTCCCTTCCCTCCATTAGAATGTCTGGCGATCAACTTCTCGAGAGCAACTCTCTGCAGCTTCTCGGTCTCACGTTGACTGCTGACCTGAGATGGAATAAATATATCGAGTCAATTGCCTCGTCCACTGCAAGGAAAGTTGGCTCCCTGAGCCGCGCTAGGAAGTTCTTCTCCCCGGAGTCGATCCTCCAGATCTACAAATCCACAATTCGCCCTTGCATGGAGTATTGCTGCCATATATGGTCTGGTGCCCCTTCTGTTTGCCTCGGGGTTCTTGATAGGCTCCAGAGGTGGATATGCAATGTGGTTGGCCCTGCCCTGGTGTCTCGTCTACAGTCACTTTCTCACAGACGCGCCATCGTCTCCCTCTGTCTGTTCTACAAATACTTTCATGGAAATTGCTCCGAGGAGCTGCATTCGCTGGTTCCCAGACGTCATGAGTTCCAGCGCCCTACGAGGCTGGCATCCCGCTCTCACCCCTTCACTGTCGAAACTCCTAAATGTAGCCGTCTCTTCTACTCTAATAGCTTCATGTCTCGCACCTCTCGCCTGTGGAACTCCCTTCCCTTCTCCTGTTTCCTTGTGAGCTATAATCTCCAGCTATTCAAGTGTAATGTCAATCAACATCTCCAGTTGCCTTGATCTATCCACTACCCTCATCCTTTCTTCTATCACTCCTATCTGATCTTGCTCTAAATTTTCTGTAACCCCCTTGCGACCTAATGGCTTCCCGCCTTGCTTAAAAAAAAAAAAAAAAAGCATTCGTTTAATAACACTTTCAGTCTTGAATATTTCTTGGTTGTGGTATCAGATTGTCTAGGTCAATGTATGTGGATGTGTGTACATGTATTTATCGGTGTCTATGTGTATAGAAAATGCATGCACATTTAATTGTGTATGTATGTGTTTGTTTTTTTGTTTTTTTTTATAAAGGGCCGTGGAGATGTTTCCTGTCTCATCACTTTTTTGTGTGTGTATATATCTAAATATGTCTGGGTGCTTATGTATTATAATCTGAGTGTGTTTGTATTGTTTTATCGAGAAAAAGCAACCCCACTCACACACTCGGGATTAAAATGTATACATTTTGTCAGGAAGACCAGCTGATATTAGCATCTATTCTAACGTAATTTCAATGAAGAAATAAATTGAATAACATATGTATTTTTTCTTTTCTCCTCAGTAATTTTATAATTTCAAACTTAATAGAGAATAAATTTAGATTTTAAAATTGGTAATTTTTTACTTTTAATTTTAACATCAAATTTTATCATAATTTAATACTTATTGGTTAGAATAAATTCTATTTTAGTATAACCCCGACTTTAAAGGTCTTAATAGCTATTATAATCTTACTTCGTTGTCAAGTTTTTTGAATTCTCCTATACTTATGTTTTGATTGGTCATTCTAGCTTTTGTAACAGCGTTTTCCCCTTGCGAAGAATCGTTAATTAATTTGAATCTTTTAAAACCATTTATTTTACATTCAACATCATCACTTGATAAGACACCGGAGGTGTTGAAACAAAGAGGCTATTTTTGTAGTGATTTTATAACATATTTATGTTATAATTTTTTAATAAATAATTATATCTGCTCTACTCTGTATTGAGCACTCTTTTAAGAATAGTAATTGTTGGTTATTGGAATTTATTCCGTATACACCAATCATATACTTGTGTGTATATATATATATATATATATATATGCACATTTCATTGAATACAACAGACAAGATGCTTTGATTTAATTTTTTATACAATTTCTCATGTGATCTAATACTTTTTTCTTTTCAGATGATAAATTATATAAAAACTGTCCAATTGTTCTTTTTATCCAAGCACTTTCAGCTATACATTTAGCCATTTTCAAGGTTGAAATATGTTAACTGTTAACAAAAAATAGTTTGTTGCATGTATTTATATAATGTTTTCATTTTCACAACACATTCAAGATATTGTGTCCATGTTCATTCATAGTTTGTCACAAAGACTCACACTACACACTTTTCTGACTATAGCTCAATTAAGTCTCATTTAAATATTGATGGAGTCCTACCGGACCCTATTTGTAACATACTTGTTGACAACACAAATATGATAGAATCATCTACATGCAAAAAAACAAAACAAAAAAAAAAGCCGTGTATCCCATTATTTTTATACAAAGAAGAAGACAAAATAAAGTAAACCCAACTCATTTGATATGTAACAAATATTGAGCAAAAAGTCTTCTTTTAGTTTACTTTTGAATGACTAAAATTTAAAACATGTTATTTCATTTTGAGGCCAGATAAAAACACCATTTCTATCAATCTGAAACTGGAGGTACATGGGGGCCAAGATTAACGTGTGTGTAGAAGAGAGGCAAAAAAACTGAAAGGGAATTTAAAGAATTTTTTTCCATACATCTTTTTCCGATAGAATTTTCGGAAATTATTTTTTAAATTATTGCTATAAAATAAAAATACTAATTAAATTCAGTTTTACAGAATTAACTATGCAGATTTTAAAAAAATAATGTAAGAACTACACTTCTAAACAGGCCCGTCGCCAGTGTTTTCAGTTGCAGGACGTGGGTAAGAAAGTGTACACGAAAATTGCTTCGCATCAATTTCACAGGCCGAGGTGGGGGTCAAATGATTTTATGCCAGAGGTCCTCGTACCTACTTGACAACGAGTCTGCTTCTACATTAGCGTATAAAAAGGTTTAGGGTAGCCTAAAGACCAGACAAAAAACTAGCTGCGATCTGTTCCAGCTAGACGGTCGAACTCTCTGACTTTGGGCAGAGTCTCGTTCAGGGAGGTTGACCAACCCGATCCAGTTTATACGGGGATTTTTTTACCGACAAAAAAAATGCGGGTGTAGAGACTAGAGTCCATTTGGCGCCCCCGTAGAATCGTCAGTGCAAGTAATAAAAAGTAAACTGAGTAAAAAATTTTCTTTAAGAATAAAAAAGGGTTTTTTATTTATTTTTTATTTTTTTTACTTATTTTGTACTTTAATTTACAAAAGGGGTTTTGTCAAAAAAGTAGATTTTGTCGTCTGAGTGTTTTGCCGGAAAATGCTTCCCTTTCTTTTTCTAACAATAACATCTTCAGATTTTCATAGCATTAGAACAGAGACTCGAATCTTATCTCCCCTACTAAACAAGCGAATCGACTTACTGTCTCCCCCCAACAAAATCAAAAGAAAAACTTTCCTCGTGGTAGAAACATACAACAATGAATATTGAATACGTTTACGTTTTTTTTTTAACATGAAAAAATAGGGTGGGTTTGTACAAGAAGACACTACAACTGAGTAATAATCATTTATTTTTTAAAAATTCTTATTATTATTTCATAACAAGCACGAAAAAGTCAATAAAGCAGTTTCTAAAAAAAAAAAATTTGATCCCCTAGGAAAGAAAATATTATTTTCAAAATAAATATGCCCAGATGACGTGATTTCTTACTTTACCTTATGTTTAAAAAAAAAAAAATTATTTATTTATTTTTCTAAATTTCGTAATCCGGAGTGCTTAAATCGATTGCAATATATGAAAAAAAAATGCACCCCAGATTATGAATGTAATTTTTTTAAATTAATTTTTCAATTGTAAGCAAACTCAAACTGGACATCCATAAACTTTTATAAAATTTATTTTTTTTATATATTCCTGATGTAGAGTGCTTATGGGAAAAATGAAAATATTTCTGATTGTGGTGCCTAAAAAATTTTTTTCTGAATCAAATAAAATTTCCCTGGGAGCTGCTGTTTTTTTTTTGTTACCTGGGTGCAGTGTTTGTTTGAACCCAAAGAAAAGCCAGAGCTTGATTGCTGATATTTTCAAGGCGAGCAAAACTTCCTTGATTGACGAAGGATTAATTTTCTATCTGTCTATTGTGCCCTACTAAGTAATTTACGTAAATGCTAAATAAATATCACTCCCAGAGAAGAAACCCTGTCTATTGTAAACAGAAACTTTCTATCTACTTACTTGGCTGTGTTGAGGACATAAACAAAGTAAGCGGCATAAACACAGACAGATACGTGTAAAAGATGGCAACGCGATCGCAAATAATGTATCTGGTCTACAGACGTGTCTTTGAAAACCATTTCAAAAGACACAGAATCAAGTCTTGAAGTTATATCATTTGGAATCGTAATGAGCGATTTGTTTTCAGAACTCAGCCTGTCACCGCCGCATTTGTTCTGCGCCATATTGTCACCATGACAACGTTAACATTTATTTACAAGATTTTGTTCCGGTTAGAATTAAAGTAACTTTCGAATTTGCTGTTATTTTGCTTGATTATTTCAGCTCATTTACAGCATCATAAAGTAATAATAAGTCAATTAGAGGAAGCACTCTTATTAAATAAAGTGAAAGAAAGAAATTAACCCATTTAAAAAAATTTCTTTGAGTGATAGATCTTTTTTTACGCATTTAAAATTTTGGCTCAAACAACAAATTCCACATCGAGTCATGTACAATACAAATGTTTCATTAGAATGTATCAGGCGATTAGACGTCAAATAGCAAAATTGAATTCAAAGTAGACGGTAGCAATCAAACATGAATGAATAAAGAAAGAATGTGGCTATATTAATTTAAAAAAGACATTTTTAATTTTAAATGACAGAAACAAAATTAAGAAAATACAAAGAACCAACCAACCGGTAACAAGAATTTAAAAAAATATAAACACTGATAGTTTTTGTTTGTTTTGTTAAAAATAAACTGAAATAATTTATTCATTTACAAAAAAAGAAAAGTCCAGTTTTAAATTCCAATGTCACAATAATGTGGATGTTGCTTTTCAAAAAATAAAGACAATTAAATAAAAATTATGGAACGCCTTTCCTTTGGTTTGGGTTTTTAGGAGGAAGACAAAATTCAATAAATCAACATTTTTCGAGACATATTGACCAGGTTTTTTGTTAGTTTCTGTAAGCCACGTGCAGAAAGAATGAAGATTATTATATAATTAATTTATAATAACTCAAGTGAATTAGTTATGAATTATGATATGTTCATAAAACCGTAAGCCCCGATAATACTTAACTTTTTTTTTAATTAGTAGCTAATTGATCAGTTATTTCATGTTAAGAATCGGTGTTTATATCGGTAATCGACAGTTTAACTTTTTTTAAGCAATTCATAAATGATCTGATGATCGCTTAAGGCGTGAAACAACCAATTACCATGCAGGATATCCACACTATATTTCTCTCTCCATATATATAATTTTTATTGTCTAAAACATTTAAACACACGAGAAAATCCAGTTACAATGTCTTAGAGCCATGTGCCTATTTGCCACTAGGGGTTTTCTTCCGGCTTTTCACATGCATTATTTGCAAATTATTATGTTTCAAACTAAAATTATAAACTCCTTTTTTGAGGTTTTGAAATCATAATTTTCGTATAAGTTTTACTCCAGTATTTTTTTTTTTTTTGTATCGCCTAAAATTGAGTTTCTCCAATTTTTCTTCTTAAATTTTGATATTTTTATTTGTAGCACTTTATCGCGGAAGGATATATATTCAGTGCGTGCTAAGTCGAGCCATTGTATAAAATAAATCCACCCGAATCAGTTTACCTCTTCTTTAGTCGTTTAAAGGAAAACGAGGAAACAGATTTGGGTTGTAGGCTTCGCAATATACGACAGAAATTGGGTTAGTCAAATAATTTCTCGTTAAAAAAAAATTAAAAAATACAAAAAAATCGGAAAATTTTAAAAATTCAACCCCCCAAAAAAAGAGCCCTCTTGTGAAGTACATTTATTTTTTAATTTGGAAACCGTACCTTGAATGAACTCAAATCGTCCCAAGTGGAATTTGAAATTTGATAAGCAAGCAAATTGAAGAGTCTGTTAAAAAACGAATTTAAAAATAGTTACAAAGCGGATAGACAAAAAAATTACATTACAACTCACAATTTTACAACTGCGAAAAAAGAAATCACTAACGTTGATTGTGAAAAATTATTTACAAAACCCGAAACGCTTTCAATATAAGAACTGTGATAATTTTTACATCTGTGATCGATCAAAAAGCTGAAAGAAAAGGACAAAACTATTTATTCACATTAATTTATTTAAAGTGCAGTGCCATTGGCATTTTTTAATAAACTGCAAGCAACAATAATCAACAAAGGAGAAAACGACGAATAGAAATTTTAATAACGCCATTTATCTGTTTTGTTAACTCGTTCGGTCCATCTCCGACAAAACGAGACCAGAAGCCTCTTTGAATTTTTTTATTTTTATTTCAGCACATCCCCCCCCCCCCAAGATCTTCCCAAACTTTGTAGTTTTAGTGTCAATACGCTATTATAACAAAAAGGCGCTCTTGTATATTAAAAAAAGACAATACTTATTTACTCGCTGTCAAAATCTACACTTTTTCTAATGGTTTTCTTTTTCGATATACAACATTGAGAAAAGTTCAAGTGATCATTAAACTTAAATTTTATTTTTTAAATTTCAATTTTTATTCATTTTCCTTTTCAACTGATAAGCTGATTACCCAATTTTTATATGCATCAAGGAAGGTGTAGAAACTTTTAGACAACTTTCAAACCAAAAGAATAGAAAAAAAAACCTTGTGTGAATTTTAAAAGTTCTCTGAAGATGAATCCAGCCACAACAACTCTCCCCATGGCTTCCTTGTACGTCGGAGACCTCCATCCTGATGTGACCGAAGCAATGCTTTTTGAGAAATTCTCTTCCACGGGTCCCGTTACCTCCATCCGAGTTTGCCGTGACATGATCTCTCGAAGATCGCTCGGTTATGCTTATGTGAACTTTCAACAACCGTCCGATGGTAAGTAAAGATTTTTTTTTTTTAATTATTTTGTCATCTCAAGTTGTACCCACAGAAATCTCGGAAAGGCGACTAAATTTGACAATTTCGGAAAATACCTTCGAAAGTGTATCTGGAGTAAGGAATTTAAAAAAAAAAAAAGTGTTTAATGTAGCGAGGGCACCTTAAATTACCAAAGGCTGTTTCTTGTAAATTACTTTTAAGCCCAAGTCTAAAGTAAATGAATTTTTTTTTTTTTTTTTAAAGATTTTATTTTTAGTTAAAATCCTTTGTTCGATTTGCAGCTTACCGCACGAAATCGTGCCCTCGAATTCAACTGTCAGAAAGCGGGAGGCGGACGGCTTGTATTTTGTGTTTAAGTTTAAAAGTTACTGTCTTGTCATGCCTGTGTAAGATAAGAAAAAAAATAAACTTTTATAGTAATTGCTAATGAATCTTATTGTTCTAGAGAACATCTACAATTAGCACAGTGTGTAATTTTAATTCTTTTCAAACGGTGTCCATTGAATTAAAAAAACAGTTTAAAAATTATGACAACTATTTCTTTGGGTATTATTTATAAATACTAAAAAATATTTGAAATATAATACTGACTAGCATTCGCTAGGTAGTACTTCTGAAACAGTAATCACTAAGAACTTAAGACTAGTCTCAAATTCACATCCACGCTGGTCTACGTTAAATAAAAAAAAAATTACTAAAAATTCTGAAAGTAAACCGTTATTCATCCATGTATGAACATAGTTTCTACTCCAAGTGTTTAGTAGCGATAAGAATAGCTTTTTTAAGTACTCATTTCTTGTTAGTAGTTTGCTTTTTAAATTGAGGTTTTGGGTTTGGAATATTTCTAAATTTTCAGTTTCAAGCGTTACTACGTTTCCGTATGGAGAACAAAAATAAGAATTTCGTTATTGATTTTCAGTTGTCGAGTTATTGTGCAAAAAGAAGCTAATTTCTTACACTTCCATGCACTCTTAAAAATAAAAATTAATATTCAAAAAATCTAAAATGAAACTGAAGACAAACTAGCAGCAGACTAATATACTATCAATTTTTGGAGTCCGTTGCTGTGGCAATAGTTCACTCATTTCCCCAGCATCCGATAAGACATGCACGTGATAATAATGTCTTCGGATGCTGAGGAAATGAGTGAACTATTGCCACAGCAACGGACTCCAAAAATTAATTCTAGTCATTATTTACTATCATTGTTCCATGACAATGACATTAACTCTTTTATTAGAAACTTTTTTCACTCATATAATGACGTGCCACGATCATGTTATGTTCTTGCCAGGCAATATTTTTCTATAAACTTTCTACATAGGGTTGGGGGACACCACCATAGCCGTTCATTCCGGTGACCACGCAAAAAAATCCCCTACTGCACGAAACAATTTTATAAGGATCCCAAATTTCAAAATATCTAGAATTTTCTTGATTTATACTTTTAAAAAAATCTGATGTGGTATTGTAATAAACCCAACTAATAAATTATAGATGTAATCTATCCCACCCCTGTCGTACCTCCGGTTCACACGATGTTTTAAGTGAGGGGAATCTTCAAATGGTGGCTTTTTTTTAGTTTTTTTTTTTTAACTTCGTCGCGTGCTTCATCGTTCATAGCACTAAAATTTGAAGTGTTTTGTTTGTTTCTTTATCGAGAAGCAGAATAGTTGTGGGCTTGAAATTAAAGATTTTCTAAGGCTATATCATACCTTAAGGTATTTCTTATATTTTATTTTTTTAGAAAAAGAAATTTCTCTTTCACCTTGTTTATAGCAAAATTTCAACTCCTGTGATCCAGATCCACAAAAACAGCAATACTCTGTTTATATTTGCTGTCTATGTTTATAGAAAATGTATCATGCTTCGATTTTTTTCACACAAAAGACAAGATTAAGTAAGTTTAAAATAAATGAAATGTTCAAATCTAGCTTGCTTTTAATTTCATAATGTTCATCAAACTGACCATTTTTATTGATTTATGAAGTAACGTAATCTTAATTTGTTCAAATTCGTTGAGTTCAGTAATTTAATGATTTAAAAAAAAAAAAAAGTTTCCGACACGAAATTTTTTTTAATCGATAACTTTTAGAATTAGTCCACCTTCGAAATTGTTTGCGCGTCCGTAATTTTCACACTAATTTTTAGTGAATTAGTAATTGTTTATTTTAAATGACTTTTTTTTTCCTGACACTCATCCACGCTAGCTATCAGTGTCAGTTTTTTTTCCCACAAAGCTGCAAGATTATGCCGTATTTTTTTTCTTTCATAGTAAAAGTTAATGTATCTCTAGTTTCAAGCATTAAAAAAAAAAAAAAAGAAAGATCCTTTACGTACTGAAAGAAGGGTTATCAGCCTGACTAATAAAGGGATATTTTTTTTTTAATTTCATTTGATAAAGAATGTTTGGAAGTGGATCGTACCAAGAAAACTTCAGTTAATGTTTCATTTGTTGAAAGTTAAAAACAAATTTTACTTGTTTTCTACAATTTTATTTCTAAATAATTGTATACTAGCTATGATGAACTATTATGATGAGAGAACAGTATTTCTCTAAAAAGTCTCTAAACCGTAATATGGAGCCATATTGTCTTTGTATTTTTAGTTTAACTTTGTGGAATGTTGCTGTTTGAGATTTTTTTTTTCGTGACACTTTGACTTAACATGAGCTGTGGCTAAAATATGTGGTTAAGCGGCGCAAATTTCAGTATTTTTTTTCCATGAATTAAGAACTTTTTTTAGTTAACTGTTAAAATAATTTGAAATTGTCAAAGTATTAGTCAAAACTCAAAAGCTATAGTAAAAACAAACTAACCATGTTTCCTTGTTTGATTTCGGGTTTTCTATAGCATTTTAAAAAAAGATCAAATATAACGGAAACGGAACGCTAAAACTAAAATTTCGACAGCAAGGTTTTTTTTTTTTAATCACTCCACACGCATAAACAACCCCCACCAATCTTATATTGGTTAATAATTGTGAACATAAATAAAAACTATTATCTTGCTCTTGTTATTAAAAACAGAAATTTGATTCTCAAAGAATCGTTCTTCGAGAAATGACTGTAACAGTCGGACTTAACGCCTAACGGTGTGAGGTTGCCGCGTGGCTCAAATCATCATGCACGTTTTCGAGAAATTTTGTTGGTGACCTCAAAAAATGAAACAGAAAAACGAGTTATCAAGATTTAACTATCCAGAGGAAAGACAACTCAAGGAAAATGCTTAATTAGCTAAAAAAAAAATAAAACTAAAATAAATGATCTTTATGGACTAATTTTTATAATGTTAATAATGAGAACAGTGGCGGAGTTTTTTTTTTTTTTTTTTATAGTGCAGAATTAGAATTGTTTTTCAGTTTTTGGAGAAAAAGTTTGTTTGCACTTTTGAAATAAACAAATTCGCATTTACTAAGTTATGGTGATGATTGTTAGATATGAAGGTTTATCTTTAGTTTCCAACTTGACTATTTTACATTTTTGAAAATTGTTTTTACAGCTACTGGTAGTCACTGTTAGCTTCAGTATGAAGATTTTGAATGTAGATAAATTTATCTATTTTCTGCATTTAAAATCTTTATACTTTTAGTAATGTTTACAAAGCTCCACATGGCACAACTGTGACACTTACAGAAAAAGTCACTAAATTTAGAAGTTTTAAGCTATAGGATGAAATAAAAACAAATAATTGACTTTGTCATATTCAAATCTCTGCTATTGTGATTCTAATTCTTTGACTTATTATAATTGATAATTGATTTGACAAATGATTATCTTGGAAGTTAAAGAAAAAGGGTGTATTCACTCTGAAAGCTGTTTAGTTGCCTTTTATAATAAAAATCCAGTTTAGCATCCAAAACAACTTTTGCATACCAAATACTGAATTATCCACCTTAGTTTCTTTACATAGAGCACACATTTTCTCCCATAAATATAATGAAGCAATTCAACATTTTTGACTAATAAAACTTATAATTTGTAAAAATAAATAAAATAACAATTGAACCATTTTCTATTGGCTGTGAAAAGTCTTGTATCAGAATTATAACAACTGATAGCCTACAATGTAATTTATTTAACCTATAACTACTTAATTCCTATGGAAAAATTCACTGTGCACTGATATTCTATATTGGTTTTCCAAAGTCTGGCTATGTTTTGAATATGAGGCTAGGTAAAGCAGTCTTAGGTGAGGATGGGGACTCGGTGTTTGATACATGACCATTTTAAATCATAATTTAAAATTGGGTCTTGTCATTTCAATTAAACTATTAACGTTCTGACCATGAGGCTCAGATTAAATGTAATAATTAACCTATTTGTGAAAACAGTATATAATAAAAATGGCTGTGATCACTAATATGAATAACACTCAATCATGTTGTGATTTTCATATGATCAGTAAAAAATAATCTGTTTGGATTAAAATATGAATAGTAAGGTATTATTAAAAAACTTTTCTTTTTCTTAGTCATTTCCACCCCAAGCAAGGTGATGAAGTCACTAAGTCAGAAGGGGTAACCAAGACTGAAAGTATCTGAGAAAAATATTTAAGGAGATAAGAGAAATAAAATAGAAAAGGATCCAAGACAGGATGATAATTGACATTGCATTTAGATTTTTGAAAATCAAAGTTGACTGAAAAGCAAGAAACCAGTTCCACAAGCTATAAGAGCAAACAAGAAACTGTTAACACAGCAATATCAACTAAAATGAGACCTAGCTGTCAATCTGAATTTAAAAGTGTACATGACCTGCAAATATTTAAAATGTTTTTATCTTTGAAGTTATAAGTTCTTTTTAACAATTTGTACTTGACATTACAAGAAAAGTTAAAATCTTTTGTGGGGGAATGTATAATTTGAGATTCAATGTTAGCTTGACACACACACACACACACACACACACACACACACACACAGTTATATTTAACTCCATAAACTCTAAATGTTAGCTATTAGAGGTAAATTTGTGCTCACTCTCCATCTAATATTCTTTTTCATCATAACATTATAGTTATTTTAAGCACATTACTCTTGTAGATGGGCAATGTGGCTGAATGAACATTAACATTACAACCATGAGGCTCCAGTTTAAATCTCAATATGGTCAATTTGTCAAAGGTAACTTCATAATATTGGCCTGGGGAGATGATTCTCATGTGCAGCACTAATGGGAAGTGCCTGGAAACCATGTTCACTTCCTTAACCCAATTTCACTCCCTAGGTTTTGTTGACCTATACCTTGAAAGTGAAATTGGATAGATAAAACTGCTCAGAAGCTGTTGATTGTTATGCTAGCATAAAGTTGCAAGTCATTGTGACTGAGGGTATGTGTATACTGGTCTTGTTCAACTACAGATCACACCAGATTGTGTGCTCTCTTCTAAATACTGGAGGTAAGGTCTGTTCACCATAGTTGCAGTACAAGTCACAGTTGTTTCTGAAGGTGTTGAAGAAACACAAATATGACAGTGTACATTTCCAACAGATTCTTAGCCACCCTGAAATGTGTAAGTCTTTCAGATGTATTTTTTTTTCTTAAAGAGCTTTATGCTGGATCCTAACTAGTTAAAATAACTTTGGATATTAGTGGATAAATGTTTGTTTTTATGGTTAAATTTTAATTCATTGTATAAAAATCCTTTTAGCTATTTTTTCGAAGTAAAATAAATAAAAATTAACTTTGTATAGATTAAAGCTAAATAATAAAGGTAGTTGAGTGCCTGCATGACTTCATATCTACCTTGGTTATTTTTACTGGTCTACTGATGCTGTTTGTCTGGGGGTGTATATACAACCATCTGACCCACTCAACAGATCTTAGGCTTTGCTTTTAGTTTAGCTACAGTAGCAGTGCTCAACATGAATTAAACTTGATACCATATTGAATAGGTTTGGGATAAGCTTGTTAACCATAAACTTACAGCAGGTACTAATGTCCTAAAATCTTTATCAGTTGACAAAGAATGATGCCTTGTATGATTGCACTTGTTGAAATATTGAATAAAAATTGATAAATTCTCAAAATGGATGTTTTTGAAGTAGAGTAATTTTAGGCTCTGGCAAATTGCACTATTGGTGGTCCTTGGTTTGCCTCTTTTTGCTTTGTAAAATCAGAAAAATCATGAACATGAATTCTTAACTGGAACTGAAGTGCTCCAGCTACAATTTAGTGTCCATTTGTGACCGAAAACCCTACATTGAAATGAAATTCAGCTTTTTTACATATATATATCCTGTAGCAGATACAAGAATATTTTCACAAATCAATATTTTTCAAATAAAGATGAAAGCAATGATTGACTTTATAGCTGCATCATATATAAATTTGAACATTCTGTAAATTTATATTGGTGAGATTTCATAATTTCCACAAATCTGCAGTGGATCGTTTGGATGTTGATAGTCCTCAATTTTCAAATAGTTTTCAAATAATAATCAGTGTAAACAAAAATGTAATTTTTTTTTTTTTTTCTTCTTCAATCATCAACAGGGCGGACACAATACAAATTGGATTTTAAAGAAGGATTTTGGATTGCTAAAAGGGAGCCTTAAATAAGCAAGTTAAATCATATTTGACAGGCTTGAGGATGTAAGAATAGATTTTTTTTATTAATTTTAACAACCCTTTGTTATCCAAAGCACTTTTTACTTTTTTTTTCTATTAAATGTTTATTTTGCATTTGAAGTTAAATCAATGTAAATTTTAGACTTAAGAAGGCAATAGAAAGTCCTGAACCATGTAGCAACATACAATAAAAAGTACAAAATTATGTTTATACAAAAACAAGACATGCATTAGACAATTTTGCACCAGAATTTTTTCAAATTTAAGCAAACACAATAACTTTATTAGGTTTGCTAAAGATATGTAGGTTAGTTTAAAAAAAAAATTAATGGTAATGACATTTTATGAATTAAAAAGACCATTGAGGCTTTTATTCTTGTAATCTGACAATGCTCAATTGTTTGCAGTTGTGCTTGAATGATACTACTAAGTATAGGGAGTTTTACTAAAACTGGTACTAGTAAAAAAAAAAATTAATTTTTTTTTAATAGCTGAGAAAGCACTCGACACAATGAATTTTGATGCATTAAAAGGTCGTCCCATCCGAATCATGTGGTCGCAGCGAGATCCGTCTCTTCGTAAATCCGGTGTGGGAAATGTCTTCATTAAGAACCTCGACAAAAGCATTGATAATAAATCTTTGTACGATACTTTCTCTTCATTTGGAAACATTTTGTCCTGTAAGGTAAGTACTTTTTTTTTTTTTTTTTTGTCATTGCTCTTTTTCCAATCTTCATCTTAATTTGTGAATGCATTGTTACTTCGGAAGATTAAATTCTGTATGTGTAATATTTTAATTTTATTGTATCATATTAAACAAAACTTTGCTATCATAGAAAAATAGTCATAATATGCTATTTGGTATTATTAGACTTTAACATTGCACAACAGAAAAAAATATTTTATGAGATTTGGTAGTTTTTCTGTAAATTAATTTGGGTGATATGAAGAATTTTTTTAAAATTAACATTTTCAACAATTCTGTAATATTTTATTGATTTTAGTTATATTTATTTAAAGCCTTAAGTTTTTATCAAAACTCTCACAAAAAAAATGTTAAAATAAAGTAAAAAGTATAAAAAAATACTAACAAAAAAAAAACATTTTTATGAAATAGGAGTTTAAAAATAATTTGAAAAATTACAAAATGACACAAATTAAAAAATAATAACTTCAAATAGAAATTGAATAAGAAAAATTTAAGTTAAAAAGTAAAAAAATTATTTGTTTAGTAGAATTAGATTTCATCTCCAGGTTACTGAATTGACCTACACTAAAATAAATACATAAAATATTTAATGAAAGAGGAATTTAAAGAAAGTAAAAATTACTTTAAATTTTAAAGTTTAAAATTTTGAATGGAGGATTTGCAAAGCCTGTTGAGACAGAAACATGGCAAAACAGAAATGAATACTGAGAGAATTGCAGACAGCCAGACTTTTAGAGAGGACATCTCTTAAAACATGTGGTGGACATCCATACTTACTAAAATGAGAATGTTACTACGCAAAAAAAAAAAAAAAATGATTGTAAAAATATTGGAGTAAATCACTTTTGTTAAGCTTTTCAATTTTTGATTGTGCAAAAACACAAATCATAAACATTGTCAATCACTGACATAAAAATAAACAAACCCAAAAAACAAGATTTTTAACCAATATTTCAAACATGCTAAAAAAAAAAAAATTATAATATTTAAAAAACATAATCTTAAAATACTTTGGTCTTTCCTATTAATAACAAACATTTTGACAATAAACCTTTGTTTTTTTTGTTTTTTATTAAATTTGGGGCCTTTTTTCATCATGCTATGCTGTTTTTCAGTGAAAAGTGGAGTTACCTAAATTGTATGAATTGATGAAAGAATACTTAAAATTAGATTATATTTAATTGCCGAAAATGAAAGATAAATTATATATCAAAAGTGGAGTGGGAATAAGAAACTTGTATATGGAAGTTTTTGAAAGTTCTCAGCCCGATCAAGAGATAACCACCACCACCAAAAAAAAAAAAAAAAGTTTGGTCAACAGGTCAGATTTGGGGTTGGGCCAAAAACATTTCAATGCCCCTTTGTATGTAATCTAGTTTTAATTCTTTGAAACCCTTTCCAGATTGTCTCTGATGAAAATGGATCAAAAGGTTATGGCTTTGTACACTTTGAGACGGAAGAAGCTGCATTGAATTCTATTGCGAAGATCAATGGAATGTTGTTGAATGGCAAAAAAGTGTAAGTTAGCTAGATTTTTGTCTTTTATTGTCAGAATATAAAAGTTTATAATTCAAATTCTGTTCTTGTAGAGAAGTGCAATTTTTACTTACTGCTACAATTTAGGAAAAGTGCTTTCAGTACATGGCTGCAGTTTAAATTTCTTACACTTTTTGGAGTGTTTTGCACATTTTGTGACTAGAATAAATAACTAGAATAAACCAGAGAATCTTGAAAAGGAATATTGTACTTGTCTTTATTTACTGTTGATTTGCTCCAATTTCAGTTGTCACTTCAGTAATACCATCAATTGAAAAATTAAAATTATCAATTCACATTTTTTTTTTTTTTTTTTTTTTTGTTTCTTATTTGGATGAAATTATTATAATTGTATTTCTCCCTCACTACGAACTTGATTTATTAATGGAGTCAAGTCTTGATTTTAAATTTTAGTTTTATTTAATAAGTGCAAGGTAAAATAAGTTAAGAACTTATAATGTACTTTCTATACTGAACATGGTAAAATAAAGTTATATTTTTCTTACAAGACTTTTTTTATTTTCATATTAATGACAGCTAATATTTTGTACAGTTTGCCATGAAAGAAAGATATGCAGCAGAACAAGTCTGTATGATAGCTAATATTCATGATGTTTAGCTTAGTGTAATACTGGGCTGTAGTTTTGGAATACTAATTGTCATTTGAGATATTAAAAGATATTAAACATGATTAAAGGGAATAATAATGGCTTAGAGGATCGAAGCATTGGTTAATAAATAATTGTTCAATCCCTGGGCTATGTAGTATGGATATACTCTGACTCAGTAGAACAGGACTAGCAATAACTGAACAATTAACCAAAACAAGATATCCCTAGACATGGACAATAAAGGGTTCAACTGGAAATTCTCTAAAGGTTACCCAGATTCACACTTGAAGAAGGAAACATGATAGTAACAACAAAGGTGGGGATGTTAGTCCAACTGTAAATCATGTGGATGAAGAATTTAGCTATAAGGTAGTTTTTTTCATTTCTAAAATTAGTTTATAGAAGAGACAAATGAGTGATACAGAGAAAGATAACCAAGCAGAAAAAAAAGAGTATCAAGACAGAAGCTCACAGTCAAAATAAGCTGCTCTTCTTTCTCATCTTGTTATAAAGATTATAGTTTAACATGTAAAATTTAGTTTCTTGACTACCTCTAAATATGTTATTTTTAAAACATTCTCTTAACATTGTTTTTCTTAAAGTAGTTTTAATGATGATTGGAATCAAGACATTACTAATGTATTGTAAAATTAAAATTATCTATATGATAACAGTAGTAGATACTTTGCTCATCTCCTTCACTCAACCATTGTAATCTCAAGTACCAGCATTATTGAATTCAAATTGGAATTGGGTTGAAAAAAAACTGTAAAAATATATATTTCTGTTAAAATTTGATTCGGTTCTTTTTTCTTTTCTTTTTTTTTCTCATCTGAAGACTTCAAATAATAATGGCATTTTTAAGATGTGATATATCCTATAAAAGTGAACATTTATTCATGGCCAATATAAATAAACTTCCTGCAATGAACTGTTATTCTTCTCTCTTGAACAAATCTATGTACATACATATTTTTTCTTTTATTCTTGCTGTAAACAATTTATAGAAATGATCTTGTTAAATGAATACAGCTGAATCCACTATTATGTCAGCTCATACTTGTTTTCTAAATATGCCTAGACTCAATTATCTATACATTGAGCCCAGACACAGTTAATCTGTTTTTGGTGTTGAAATATGAAGCTCAGTTTATTTTTGTTTTTGAACAAAGATTTACTTTCCTCTTGTCTGTGTTGAGCCTGACATAGTTTAATCTTGTTACCAGGTTTGTTGGTAAATTTATCCCTCGACGGGAACGGATGCATCAGCTTGGTGATAAAATGAAAAAATTCACCAATGTTTACATAAAAAACTTTGGAGAGGAACTGAATGATGAAAGTCTTCGAAAGCTTTTTGAGAAATATGGTACTATAGTTAGTGCCAAGGTTTGTATATAAACTGGAATTTTTAACTGCCTGTAGTCCTCTGGCTTGCTGCTATATAGGTTGAAATAATTGCTTTATTTTAATCCAGATTTTTTTTCTTTTGTTGGATTGCTATTAACTTTTCTTATGGTTTTTTTTCTCCTGTTTCTCCCCAAAATATTTTCCCTTGAGTAATCAAGGTTTTGAGAAAAACTTCAGTTTGTTAGTCCTGAGATTGCAGAAATATATTTTGATCCAGAGAAAAACAGTTGGAACTTAAGTGAAGGAGAAAAAAAAATTCAATTTGATTTATCTCATCCAAATCTTCAGTTCATAATTGTTAATGATTATAATTTTAACCATTTGTATTTGTTCTAACATTTGGAAATGTAATTCATATATGACAATTTTATTAATATCCATGTTTATAATACAACTATACTAACAAACCAGTGAAAATTGACTGCTTGCTTACTGATATTGGGTTGATTTAAAAAAGATCATTTTGATTGTCATTAGGAGCATTTAGTTTTAACTAATTTCATTCATTAAGAACACTTGATAGTATTGTGGTAGCTATCACAAATGTAAATGAAATATTTGAGCTTATAGAGATAAGGTACAGTGAATGATCAGATGTGTTAAGTAGTTTGTAAAGTTCTATGCTGGAGATTCAAATTGAAAGGCTCTATGGTCAAGTAGACTATATGAGGTTGATAGCAATCAAATTGAAGACATTACTTGAAAATAATCATTATAATGATGGCATTGGAGATGGCCATCATTCAAAACCTCCAAATTAAAAATCATTTGTACCAACTTTAGTTGCTTTCATGTGTGAAGTTGAAAGACTAATAGTATGTTTCTGTATGTAATTTGATAAAGGTAACAATTTTCAGATTGACTTTCCTTTACCAAATTGTGATGTATACTTTACAACATTGTGGTACTAAAAAGATTGGGACTAGCAAAATGAACTGCCATTAACTAAACCAAAAGTTGGTCTTCATCTTTCTGTGATGCTCTGTATATGATGGGATTGGAAACAAACAATTTATTTGGATGATTACTGTTTTCAATTAGACACTTTGAAGGCAGTAATGGACAAGTAGCACTGGAATTAGTTATAATCAATTAGGACAACTATGCCCAACCCATGACACACATACCAAATGTTGTGCATTGCATGTTTAGATATGGTGCATTACATCCCAGTGATCTACCCACCCCAATTGACTGACAATTTACACTTGTATGCTACTGAGTTGTATTTTGTTTGTTTTTTTTTTTTTGTGAATATTTGTATTTTTAAAAAATTCATTGAATTCAGTCATCATTAATGCAAAAATGGTCCAGGGGAAAAGAAGAAAATGATAAGACATGCATTTTATAGACAATGGGAAAATTAATCCTTCAGGAAAAATATGTATTTATGAAGTTACTGTAAAAAAAAAAAAAAAAAAAAATCAGATAGGGAAACTGAAGTCTGTGTTTTGATCTGAGTCTTGGAAAGAATGTGATTAAGAAAGAAAAAAAGTCAAATGACAATTGGCCAAAAAACTTCAGATTAAGATATTTAGATTTGTTCCCAAATCTTTGCAAAATTTCTTAAGATAAAAATATCAAAATGTCAACAGAATTACTTTGAAATGAGATGTACAAATGACTTCATGATGTCTCAATACAACTGAAAGGCTTTGTAAATGCTTTCCTTTATCTATATTTAAACATTTTATAAGATGAATCAATAATTTTAACGTCATTTTTTAATAAGTTATCAAATTTTTGCACCGTATAATCATGCCTAGAACATTTACAACTATTCAAATTTACTCATCAGCATGTATATCAACAGAGTGCTATTGATTAGTTGTGGCTATAACTTAGCAGGAAAACATTATAGGTAATCCTATATCACTATTTAACACTGAGGTAACTTTCAGGAAGTTTAAATTTGAATGCTGTTACCAGTTGTTACAAATGCATGAATAAAGTAAGAGCAATATAATAGAAAAATGTGAGATGATAAATTTTGAATATGGGATTGTTCTTTTATTTTTATTGCAAGGTATGTTGGCAATTTTGCAAAATACATAGGAGCTTTTGGGCTATCAAAAGAGCCATTTGAAATCAATTTTCAAGATTTTGCTCAAGACTGCATATTTGAATATATAAACCTGTTTTCACTTGGTGAAAAAGAATCTTGAAGATGTAGAATAACAGATGAAACTTGCTGGCTTGACATTCGTTATTGAGAATAAAATTTGAACTTCCCTCGATCCTAAATGATTCTGATAATTTGTAGCAATCATTAACCAGTGTACATTTTCCAGAACTAAGAAAATTTGTTCAGAATTATCTGCCATTTCTGAACAATGTACATATGCAAAATCTATTAAAAAAAACAGATTGTGGATGAATTAAATTTAAATATTCTGTAAGATATTTAAGATTGTAGGTCACAAGGAAGCAAAACAAGAGGATTTCATAGGCAAGAAGTGAGTGGAGAAACTATTAAAATAGTTATGGCTACATCTAGTTATTTCAGTAGTAAAATGATGAAATCTAATTGCCAGTTCTAGTACTGAATTCATGAGACTGGGTTACCAAGGAGGAAAACTCAAAACAATTGCCATGAAAATATTTATAAAAAAGACAAAAGAAGCTACATTATGTTGGTGGGATAGTGAGTGAGGTCAAGATATCAAGACTGATATTACAGGCCCTCCTTTGGATTTTATTGGGAATCTCAAGATATATAGTGGGAGCACCAGACCACATGTGGCAGCAACATTCAATGCATGGATGAACGGTAGATTTATAAATGTGCAAGATTCTGACAAGAAAAATTGTCTAGCAGTAGACTTAGCAAATGAGTCAATATAGTCATTCCACTTCATATCTGGAAAACATAAGACTGGAAAGGCACAATGAATTGCTTTAGTATCAGCCATGCTAATTGAAGGCGAAGCAGGTTTTCTAAGATTACTATAAAACTAGCTTCATTTTGGAGGTGTTAAAATTTACAAGCCATTTCTTGCCCCAGTTAATAACAGATTAGTCATTTTCAGGATCAGCTGCCAGTTTGACTTTACCAGACCTATCAGAATTACTAGTAAGACAGGAGTGGATAGTTATCAGCATGGAAACTGATTGCATCAGGAAGGTTATTGATAAAGAGGTCCAAGGACACCCACATTAATGCAAAAGGATGTAGAAGAGGGGCCATTCAACATAACTTTCATTACATGATTTGAGATTGTATCAAACCAGACATTCAGTTGGAGGCACTATAGCTTGTGAAAAAAACTAGCATGCCAAAACTTGTCAAACACCTTTTGAAATATCCAAAACCACAGTCTAAGCTTTGCTGTTATATAATGTTTGACACACTCTATCAGTAATAATCATTAACATATTAGCAGTTTACCTAGAGAAGCCATATTGTTTTTCTAAAAGAAGGCTGTGTGAAGTAAGCTGCTTAACCAATTTAGAGTTGATTAGAGCATTGAGAACTTTGTGAGGAGGTAGGAGACTAATAGAACTATATTTCAATGGATCAGAAGGTTCACCAAAGTTCTTAAAAACAGGAACTACAGAACTGATTTCCAACAAGCTGGAAAGCAAGATGCAGCTAGGCATTTATTGTAGTTTGGAAAGAACAAGAGCACATTTCTTTTGGACTATCATCGGGATACCATCAAATATGCATGACTTGTGTGGGATCTAGTTTGGAGATGATATCAGAAAGCATGGATGGAGTTATGCATATCACACACTCAGTTCTAGGTGCATATCAGATAAACATATTCCTTTATGAGTTAAGAGTGGAATTGGAAGAGGGTTTATGAGCAAAGCAGAATTCCTTATCAGCAGTATATGACAACACTTCACACTGATTGAAGATTCATCCCTAACTAACACACTTACTGAGCCACTAGCCATTGTGAGAGGCTATATGTTGTCTAATTCTATCGGTGACTTGGTCACATTGAGGACATGATTACAGTCATTAAAAGTGGACACAGAAGTAGTTATTGATCCAAATTATCACATTGATATAACTGGAAGAAGTGATTCCTATGGGCTATAGTGGCTGAACAAGTAGGAGTGGAGCAGGAAGATTGCAGTTTTATGTTTTTTTCTGTGATGGCACAGAAGCATTGATGCTGGCCTTCACCAAAGAAGAAACCTAGATGGTAAAATATTCAGTGGGAAGATTAATAATTTCACTCCAAGGGGCATTGCAGAGAAATTCATGAATGAATACATTGAGGTCTTGTGAATTGGAGGTTTTCGCCTAATAGACGAGTGAAAAGAAATATCTACAGGCAGTACAGCATGCTCCAAATTGCGAAGAGGACAGAGTTGCAAAACATGACAAGTCAGAGAGGAGGTATGGAACAGATGGCGTAAAGAAATGTCAGAATTACTATGGAAATTTACTATTTGACCATTGAGTAATTGAAAAAATTCAGTCTGGATACTATTAAGATCAGTAGTATTAGAATAATGAAGCCACTTGATGCAATGAGGTTGGACAGAAAGTTTTGCCTCAGTCACTGTATTCCTCAAATATTGTACCTTCTAATTGCCATTTATTCTAATCTTTTAGAGAGTTTCATTAAAGAAAAAAAATAATTTTCCTAGGAAACTTTCTTAGCAAAGAACTGATTTAAATTTTGAGTCTAGAATTCTGAAGGTGCCTGAAAGATGGCAGAAGATAGTGGAACAAAAAGACTGCACTTGTTTTTCACTTGAAAACAAAATAATTGAATTTAATGAACTGAACAAATTTTGGCCAATTTAGTATATTAAAACTGATTCATTTTTAATTTCCTTTCATCCTAAAGACACATTTGGCATATATCAAATAGCATCTTTTAATTGTAATTCCTTAGGAAATTATTATTCTTGTTTTATTCATCTACTCACTATTAAATATTATTTTGCATTCTTCAAAATTATTTTTCTTTCCATTCCAACCCACAGAAGTTAATGTTAGGTCATAATCTTTCTTGAAATTAATGATCCTGAAGTGATATGGGATCCAAACTATACAGATAAAATATTATCAATTTGTTACACGTCTTACAAAAGCATTAAGTGCATTAAGGATTTGACTAAATGTAAATATTAGTTGGTTTGACATTTCTGTGAATTGTTCAATGTAGGTAGGTAATTTTTTTTTTTTTTATTATTATTATTATTATTATTAAGGTACTAAAGGTGTTTGTGAGGGTACTGGTAATACAATTGGGAGTGGTAGTGAAAAATAACATACAGCCGTCATACTTAGTTATCACACACTTATATTTCTAGGTGATGACTGATGCCTCTGGAAAATCACGTGGCTTTGGCTTTGTAAGTTTTGAAGAAGCTGTAAATGCAGAAAAGGTAATATTTTTTATTCTCTTGCCAGTTCTGAAAATTTGGAAATTGTACAAATTTTTTTTTTATATACCATATATACTTGTGTATCATGCTAGTTTTGAATACCCAATTTTGAAGCTAATTTTAAGAGGGTTGTGTGTCCTACACAAGATATGAAATTAGCATATGTACTGCTGGCCCTGGCTATATATCCATTTACTTTAGTCAAATTAGATTTAAAATTAAGTCTTCAAAAGTCATATGATACACAAATATATACGGTAAATTTAATAAGTTTACTATAATTTTTTTAAATAAACCAAATTAAGTTTTTTGGACTTGGTGCAGTACAGAAATGTATAGATATTGATAATAGTCTAGATCAGTAAGTTAATGGCTAGAGGCTCTCTATATAGACTGACAAACATTTATTAGAAACCAAGCTGCAGACATGAAGGGATTACTTGAACTCTCTTTAAATGTCTTAGAAGTGCTCAGTTGAATTACTTTTGCTCTTATACTCAGGTAGGTGAGTCAAAGTATCTTTAAATGGCAGGATTTTTAGTGCATTTGGTCTTTCCCAGCCAACACTTAGTGGTTGGGAGACATTAATTCATGTACACTATCAAATAAACTCAACATTCAACTTTGACATAGTACATTTTGTACAAAATGTACTATTATCATAAGGTTTAATCTGATTTTTGTGTTAGTGACACAAACTAGTGTATTAATTTTACTACTTGTTAGTCTTTATTTGAAACTAGTTTCCTGTGTCGATTTTTCTGATAATAGCTGTAATAAAATAAGTCAAGTGAGAAAAAGGATTTCATTTTTAGGCTGCCAATGAAATTAATGGTATGGAAATTGCTGGAAGGCAGCTATATGCTGGTCGTGCACAGAAAAAAGCTGAAAGACAAGCAGGTCTTAAGGAGAAATTTGAAAAACTGAAGATGGAAAGAATAAACAGATACCAAGGAATCAATTTGTATGTGAAAAATCTTGATGACACTATTGATGATGAGCTACTCAGGCACCATTTCTCAAGTTATGGTACCATCACAAGTGCTAAGGTTAGTGAGATTGGAATTTTGCTTTTCTGTTTATTTAAACAATTAGCATGTATTACTAATGTTGAACTGTGAAAAGTATCATTGTTTGGTTTTATGTTTATACTGCAAATTTGTCTAATCTCGAAGACCAGAAATTGACTGAAAATCAGTATTGGAATAAGCAGCATTGATATATCTCCAAACATGATGCCCTCTGAAAGGATTAGTTCATTTTAATCTTTGCCAATTTTTATTAATAACTTTTTTTTTTTTTTTTTTTTTTTTAAATCATCCGTGTAACTTGAGAAACTTGTGCTATGAATAAAAAGTAATCAATTTTATTGAATATATTTTATATGCTAATAGTAATTAAAAGGAAGACTCCTTACTCCTTTTGATGTATGAAACTAAAATTGACAATTAAAAGCAATGTAGTTTTAGATTTTTTTGTGTAAGTTTTTTCTAGTAAATTTGTTAGCTTTTCCAGATTTACAAAAATCCAAGATATTTTTGCAGATTTATTTCTTTTTCATTTAAGAAGGCTATTAATATTACCCATAGGATCATGGAAATTTCTCAAATGTCATCTCATAAATTTTTTAGAAAAATTCAGAATTCAAGCACGTCAATAGGAGCTGATTTGCCAAATTATTGATTTTTTTTTTTTTAAGTATTCCTTTCTGTGTTATTTACATTAACAGCTCTTTTTTAATACAGTATGACCCATTTTCTAACATGGAGATTAGTTTTCTTTTTTTTCTTATTTATCCACTTTTCATACTTCCTTTATTTACTAGTTCTAAATTCTCTTTATTTTATTGCACTAGTTATTGCCTTGAATGACTTTTGTCAATATTCTTGTATGCTCTCTCAAATATAAAATTTTTGTTTGGCAAACCTGAAACCCTAGAGGTTGTCATGTTGCTTGCCTTCCTCTTCCCAACCCAGGTGATAGAAAAAACTGTTTATTCTTGTTGGCTACAAACTGAAGTTGTTTGAAATGTTGACAAGAAAAACAGGACATCTTTTAATACAAGCCAAACAAATTATTCTGCCTTTCCTTTACAAATAAATCTTGTAATTCAGTCTGATTTGCTATGAATAAAAATTTTCAATTTTTTTTTTTTTAACCAAATAGTATTTTTAAAGTATTTTTCTTGCTTTCATTTTCATCTCTCATACAACCATCTATATATGTCCCTCAAAAGTCAATGCTAGAAAATGCTACTCTACAAATTCTATAAAATATCTTTTTAGTCAAAACGGAAATATTTTGTTGCCCCAGATTGGAAAATAATTTCAATTGAAAATGTTAATTGTTTCAAAATGCTGATATTTTTTATTTAGCATTAGCACTATAACCTGAAGTAGAATGTTCCTCTTTCTCAACCAGGTAATGATGGAAAATGGTCGCTCAAAAGGTTTCGGGTTTGTGTGCTTTTCCACTGCTGAAGAAGCCACAAAAGCAGTAACAGAAATGAATGGTCGAATAATTGACACAAAACCCCTGTATGTTGCTCTTGCTCAGCGCAAAGAAGAGCGCAAAGCCCAACTTGCTTCCCAATACATTCAGAGAATGACGAGTATCCGCAGCCAGGTGAGCAGTGTTGGTCAGATGGGCCAAATGTTCCCGGCAAGTAGCGCTGGCTTCTTTCTACCCGCAGTGGCACAAGCTCAGAGAAGTTTCTTCCCGCAACAAGTTCCCCAAATGCGCACTGGGATACCTCGTTGGCAGCCACGTCCAGCTACTGGCCAGGCAAACGCAGGTTATCAGCAACTGACTGCACCGCAGATAAGACAGTCCCGTCCTTCAGTCAGTGCAGCTGCTCCTCAGAATATGCGATCAAGCATGAACCCACGCTCTATAACCAATCAGATGTCAGCTCCCAGGGGCACTGCTAGTGGCGTGCAGAGCTTGACTAGTGCTACATCAAATATTGGTCGACCTAGTGTTTCAGCACAGAACACTCGACAATATAGCAGATTTGGTCAGATACGGTCAACGGGCAGTCAGTCTGATGGTGTACAACAGCCATCACAGGCCTCTTCATCGGTGAGTATTTTGTTTAATTTCTGTGGTATTTATGTTGTAACACTGTATCCTCACCCCACTGGACCCATGCACTCCACAAGACCAGCCATTGTTCTGTTATGGTCCAGTATTACAGGTTAGACACAAGTCTCTGTTTCCTAATGTCAATTCAAAGTTACCCTCCAGCCACATTGTGTTTTTTTGTTTTTTTAAACTGAAACCTTCCGGTTGGTCCACCTGCGAGTTTGTCAGGTGAGAATCGGGTTAACAGAAAAATAAATAACCAAGTTGATTCAATTTTGAAAGGACAAAAGTTATATATATATATATATATATATATATATATATATAAAAGCAAACACACATACAAAAAAAAAAATAATTCTTGTTGCATGAGTTTGAAGGTTTCTTATATGTGAACAATAACCAAACAAACATAAATACTTCAAATAATTTTGGTAAGGAGAGATGTGGCTTTCGTTTTAACCCTTTTTTGGTCTGTTCTTAGTGCAACTACTACAGCCTTTGATGCTTTCATTGTCAGTAGTCATAATAATAATAATAATAGTAGTAGTAGGAGGAGTAGCGGTACTTAGATGTTAGTGGTGGTATCGCACTTCCTCAGCTCAGCAACTCACAGCAGATGCTTCCTTTTCAATCTCTGACATCACTCCACTCAGTTCGACTGCATTTGAAGACAGATAAGCTCGAAACTCTCCTATCTTACGGTCAGCTTGCCTCTTTATATAGAGAACTGGTAATGTATCTGTTTCTAGTGCGAATGTACTGACATACTTTCAAAGTACAATTTCACTCCGAGAGTAAACAATTTACTTTTTCATCGATTGGTTTCATGGTCCACAACAAGACTCTATTGTTTTCACCTAGCTACCAACAACTCTGCTGCTCTTTGTCAACTAGTTTTGTTTCAAAAATAAATACTAAATCAAAACATCCTTTATTTTAACTTTGATTCTTAAAGTTTCAAAATCCATTTCTTTTTCTAAAAGTTCCTAATTATTGTTCCAGTAATTTTCTATTAGTAATCTGATTTGTACACTTTGTGTTCTAAATTAACTTTTTGTAATATTTACATTTCATAGTCTTTTTTGAAAACGCCTCTCTTCACTTGGTGTTTTCTGTTTTATCCTTTTTTTTTTTTTTTTTCTTCCATTATTATTATTTTAGAGGTGATATCGCCCCTGCCACAATGTTTCAATCGATTATTATTTTTGTGACAATCTAATTTTAGTGGGAAAACTTCAGCATTGACTAAAATATAAAAAAAAAAAAAAAATTGACCCTGTTTCTCTGAAAAGATTCCTACATTATAGTCATTTACTAAGTGTAGCTGAACTGTCAGAATGCCACATTTATGAAAAACCTAGTGAGAATGAAATTCATGACTATCATAATTGAGTGAGATGATCTAGCTAACCATTATATCATGTTGAAGTACCCCACATGCCTACATAATAATGTCATTTACTTCAGTAGCATTTATATGAAAGCTTGGTATTATCTGGATTACAAATCTGTAGCTGCCATTTATGTGAAGCTGAAAAAAGTAGCAATGCATTTTCTTGATTTGTCATAATGCAGTAAAAGTTTTAAGGTAAAAGACCATAAACTATCTTTTGAGGTACTTAATGAAACTATTTTAATATTTTTGAAGCATTTAGATAGAGAATTCTGTTTATGAACTGACTGACCAACTCATTGGCAAAGTGCCAAGCTGAATTACAGACATGAATGGATTGAAACTAATGATTTTGTGAGATTTGATCCTTAATTTTAACTTTATTTATACATGTTTATAGCAGTAAGACTTGACAGATGTGTATTTACTGATTTCTTATATTTTTAATATTTTATTTTTTTCATTACTCCCTCCCCAAAAATAGTCTTGCTTTGTGTGTATCAATTTTAAAAAAGTTACAAAGGCTATTGGATTCTTAAAAAAATTGCCATTTGAGAAGAGGACAATTTTCTACAGTTGTGTAAGAAAGCAATTAGGACTAATATTCTTTCATTTTCAAGTATGTAAAAAACCTGTTAGGTGTTTATCAACAAAATTGATTTTTACCATATTAACTACATCAGTCTCATATTTGAATATAAATTTCCTAGAGTAAGTGCAACTTCTTTTATTAACTCTATAAGAAATAGTGTGTAATGAAACCAAAATCATGCTCTGTTTGCAGACAAGCCAGGCTGTCATGGTTCCAGGACAAGAACCTCTGACAGCAACCATGTTAGCTGCTGCTCCACCCCAGGAACAAAAACAGCTTTTGGGTGAACGTCTCTTCCCACTGATTGCTCGTTATCACAGTGCACTTGCAGGCAAGATCACTGGCATGTTGCTCGAGATAGACAACACAGAATTACTGCATATGCTTGACTCCCCAGAATCTTTGCGTTCAAAGGTAACTGAAAATTTATTTGCAGGTTGTGGATTTTGAACAAATGCTATAATTAGTCATGTTAAGATATTGAAAAATTGAGTTTTTTAAAATTTATAATCAATTCTCTTCAAGGTAAAGGAACTTCTGTTGGTTAGAATAAATGTATTTGTACCTGACTTGAAGTAAAAATTCTGCAATTTGGTAAGTTGCTTGAACAACTTGGATCTGTCATCACTGAAATTAGATTTTAGCTACAGGTAAATTAAATATGCAGTCTTTTTTAAATATGTTCTTTTAAACAAAAATCTGTTTTTAGAACTATGTAAAGTTCTTAATTAGTGAAGCAAGACTTAGATTTTTATGTATGAAGAGTAAAAGGAAAGTAAATATTACATAATTTATTTACTTATTGATTTTACTACTAAACCTTTCTCTTTATATAATAACCATTTTTAAAAAAATCTTTTACACTGCACTCTTCATTACCAATGTGTAGCTCATGCAATAAAATGTTTAATTTCCTTTTTGGCTGATTTGGTATTGGACTAATTTCTTAGTGTGTATATGGCAGATGAAATACTAGATTAGTGTCTGGTGCTCCTTAACTCACTATATGGCTGAAGACCACATCTTTAGCTTTGATTGGCATATTGACTAGATGTAAATCTTACATGGTAAAAGCCATACTTTATTTGAATCACTGAAAAGTGTGAGAAGTCCAATACAAACCTTTTATCACTGTAAACAAATTGTGTGAATAGCTCAAGGAACACTTTGAAGTGGACAAGTTCTTGCAAAGCCCTTTGGTGATGGAATAGCATCAATGGGTAGAGAAGGAGAGGATACTGCTGGAGGTCCTTGGTTGGTGGTTTCTCAGATGATGGCCATTCTTGTACAAACCTGTGTTCTTCATTGGGCGATGTAGCATGGCCTTTTTGGTCTGCAATTTTTAGGGCTCTTTTTATTGCCCTCTCCCAACATCAGAAGAAGCAGTGCTTTTCCTGACTAGACCTGCTATATTCAAACAACCAAATTTAAAAGAAGAAAGTTTCTTTTAAATTTGGGTTTTGAAATATTCAAAATCATTGGAAAGAAAAACATCCATGGTTGTAAATGCCCTAAATAAGTATTATGAGATTGACATAGTAAAACCCAATTTCTTGATTTTTGTTGAAAAAAAAAATACATCTGTTCTGGAAAAGAAAATGTGTTCCTCTGGTGTTGGCTTGTCTATTAAAAACAATATTTTGAGAAAAGTAAAATCATCCAAACCAATGCTATGTTTGAACAAGGCAGAAAGTATAAAACTACCAAAGGCCAAAGGATTACCATCTATCACCAAAAAGATACTCTTAACCTGCTCTTTTCATAGCTGTTCATACTACCATGCTCTGTTGTATTGTAAGACTTTGTTTTATTATTTAAAGCTATTGAATGCCAAAGCATTAAATTGCTGACAATAAGAAAACTAGGTTATCTGCAGCCCTTGACTTCAAATTAAATGGCACTAAAATATACCAACATTGAATAATCATGGAATAAACTTAAGCAACATTCTCAGCCTCACTTTAAATGCTTGTTCTTCATTGTGCAAGCATTAGGTATGGGGCAATCAAGATAATGTTGTGGTAGGGTCTTTGATATAAAAAAATGCATTCTCATAAAAACTGGATTGTTGATAAAGCATTAATACAATCAGTGCAAAGATCATTGAGACTAATGGAAGAAGCATGTGGTTAAAAAGAAAATACACTAAGTCTTCCTATGAGGGCTATAATGAGCTTTAGGATTCTCATCAACATGTAGTCTTGCCTGCTGATAGGCAAAACTAAAATCTGTGTTTGCTCACTTCGAACAGGGCCCTAAATAACTGAACTCTGTTGGACTCTGTTGATCTAATATTTGTTGAGGTGTAGTCAACCATAAAACGAATATCATAAGTTACCTGGTAAGGTTTATATGCCAACAGATCTAAGAATTTTGGGTGGGGGTAATATTCTGGTGTGGCAAGCTATGACATCTATTTACCTTGATTTTACTTCATGTCACAGATGAATTAAAAAATTTCACCAGTCACTCCTCTTAAAGAAAGAATTGTAGGTAACCACCAAGGGATATATTTACACTGAATTGCTGATAAAGTTCTTGCTCATGTTATTCTTAACATATAATTAGTCATCTTGTGAACAAATTCTCTGAATCTATGACTTCAAATGAAATAGAGGAATGGTTGATGTGATATATTGTCAGAGGCAAATAGCTGAAAAAGTGCATGGAAAAAAATGGAGTTCTGTTTTCATTGATTTGAGTGCCTTATTTCATTGATAAAATTGTCTTTTGAAAGCTATATTAAAGATTGGTTTCAGCATTATTTGAAAATTTCAATGTCAGTCAGAGGGAAATTTATCTGAACATTTTTATTTAAAAAAAAAAAAAAAGGAAAAAAAGCAAGGCTGTGTCAGGACTCCTGTTGTGCTGGAGTATACCTTCAAAGACTACAATGTTAGTGTACAGTTTAATTCAGAACAACTAGTAGTCTCTTCATCCATGTTTCAATATCAAAACTTTCACTTAAACTGAAATGATCCTGGAGTTCTTTTTGCTAGTGATATAGCACTTGTAATAGAAGTTCAAGAACTTGCCAATGACCTCCCTTTAGCTGCAAAGTCTTCTTGTAATGAATTTGAAGAAAATAAGTAATTTAACAATTGAAATCAACAGGTAATCAAAGAAAAAGCATCTTTTTGTCAGTGAAATCCTTTTCTATACTTAAGAATTCAAGTGCATCATTAGATGACTGAATAGCTAACCAAAAAAAAATATTTGCTGTTAGAAAATCCCCATTTCTTGGAAAGTCTGGAATGAAAGAGTCCTGGGCTTGAAAAGAAAAACTTGTTTTCTGTGTAGTAGTCATATCAAGTTTGTATTAGTTCTGAACTCCATACTGAATGCATACTAATAAGTTAGACTTGTTTCATAGAAGACAATAAATGGGCAAAAATAAAGTTTAGTAATGAATTGTTTACAAAGTATAGAAGCCATGTTGATGCAGCCTTGATTAAGATAGATGGGCAATGTTATATAAGATATACCTGATCATAGACTTCACCAAACCCTAATGTACAATGATTCAAAGCGAGTTCTGTGGATTTGTATTAATGTGAGTTAATTTTGCAAGAGATGCTTGGGCTTGGTGTAAGAAAGAAATGGCATGAAAACTGGATCATTAACCTTTGGGCATTGAAAACAGTGATAGTTATATAACACCCAAACAATTGGGTCAATAAATCTATAGTCTAATTATAGGTACCTCCTAAAGAAATGTAAATAAGTCCTGAAAGTTTAATTAAAATATGACAAGCATTAGATTTGCAAAAAAATGCAAAATTTATCTGCTAATCTTTTGTCCCCCACTGGTGCAGGAATTTAACAATTTTTAACAGATTTCAAACATTCTAAAGAATCAAAAAAATGTAATTTAGTAATTTAAAAAAAAATCCATTGGTCTTTCCTCAAAGATTTTGATGCTAAAATGTATGTTTTAAGTTTGGTATTTTTTTTCTTCATGCATGTTCATTTTTGGCAAATCTGTATATATGCTTAGTGTAATATATAATGTAGTTAATGGGTAAATTGTGATTTGAAATTTTCACCATACATCCAATCTATGATTAATATTAATTAAATAAAATGTATTGACAAAGTTGGGCAGGGAGACATTTTCTATAATTTTTTTTTTTCTTTTCTTTATTGATATACTTTAATTATAATGTGCAAATATAGAGCAATTTGAAATAAAAAAATGGAGATGAATATATAAATGAAAATCCACATAGCATTGGGAAATCTGTTTATAGAAAATGAATTGAAGTAAGTAGACAGGTCAGTGAGTAAGCAGACATGGGTTTAGTGGTGCAAGTTGGATGGAGCCTGGTCAAAAACTGAAGTTCTGATTGAGACTGCTTAATCAAGTATATTTGTATTATTTTTTTTTTTTTTTTTTTTTTTATTTATTTATTTGAACCACTAAACTATTGCATTTTGCTAGCAGAAATAGATGCGGTTCTGTTTATTGCCAACTTGCTTGTACTTAGTCAAGTGTATACAAAAATCTTTAAACATTAAAAATGCACTGTGTTAAAATGGGAATGAAACATCCAGATGGTATCTTTTATAGAGAGTGAGGGAAGGTAATTTTCTTTAATACATACTGATTTTATTAATTTCCAGTCACTTGGGATGACAGCCAGATATAGTTGATACAGTAGTCCACTGCTATAGTGTGGGCCTTGGAGTCCAAGATGGCTGGCCTGTGCTTCAAGTGAATTGCAGTGATGTGGGGGATAAGGGGTTGAACACCAACCTGATTTTGGGGCCCTATTTGCTGATATATACAATAGATAATGGCTTGAAAAGAAACTTAAAAAAAAAATTATTGATGCCAATGATTCCATAAGAAATTTTAAGTAATTTGCTTTTGAAGCCCTTAAGTATCTAATAAAAATTTCTTGAATGGTTATTTTTTATTGTAAATTTACATGCCTAATTTGAAAATAATAAAATTTGCTGTTTTTGGTGTAATCGACAATAAAAGTTTGGACTTATTAGTGTTGTTGGCTACAGCACTGCAGCTATTATTGGTGTTTGCATCTGTGTGTGTACAATAATCAAGACAAGTGAATGTCTATTCTGCAAGAAATATATGTAAACAATGCCAGTAATGGCTGCTGTGATGTGAATGAGTCCAAGCTTTTGTTGTTGCTAACTTTAAAAAGGTAGATTTTATCAACATTTCTTTTATTCTTTAATTAAGCATGTAAATTTACACATAAATATAACTTTCTTTATGATGTTTAGACATTTTGTATTACTACTAGGGGCAACAATTTTGTGGGGAATACTGATTGCGGCCCCAAATTACTACGTGCTATTTATATTTGTTTATTTATGAGTGATCTTTGTTGTCTACTGTTGGTACTCCTATTTATAGCACACCTGTGGTATCTGATTGCAGTGATTTTAATTTCTGTTAATTAGACTGATATTATGGGAAGTCTTTGATCGCGTGCGAATTATAAATATAAAGTAATCATGTGTAATTATTACCAATACAATTGGATTAGGTGTGAAATGGCTTAGGCATAAAAATCTCATAAAATTTGGGCTGTTTGAACATCTAAATCGAAGTAAAACCTGTGAAAAGGGGGCCTAATTATTAAAACAAATTAAGACCCAACTGATGATCGTGGTTTATTCTATCATGATGATGGTCTAGAAATTGGTAAAATATGGTGGAATTTCTAAAGTGAATGATATTAAGGGTACAAGAACAAAATCTTGGTCCACCACCAACCTGCAGTAAAACAAAAAACAAAAAAAAAAAAACTTCAGCTATAAATAATTTTAAAGATTATAGTAATTCTGTATTTTTCTCTATAAATTTAATAAAACAATGTTCTGAGATTTATACTGAAATTCTCAAGTGTAATGAAAAGATAAGGGAAAAAACACTTTGATCAAAGAGGTTCTTAACACCTTTTAAATTTGTAGCTAAAACAGTTTGCAAGGAAATAGTTTACATAGTTTTTCAACTTTGTGTTTGGGACCATATTAATAAACATGAATTTTAATTTTCTTTCAGGTAGAAGAAGCTGTTGCTGTCCTCCAGGCTCATCAGGCCAAGGAAGCTGCACATCTGGCAGTCAAGAAAGAATAATTTTTTTTTTTTTTTTTTTTCTTCCTCTCTTAATCTTTGACTCCACTTATGCTTCTTGAAGAAATAGATAGGTGTGTGTGTGTACGTTTTCCCCCCACTTCCATTCATAAAAAAGTCTCTTGTAAGAGGATAAAAATAGGTACTAATGCTGATTCTGTAGAAAATTGGCATTTTGCATTGAAAGCTTAGAAAAAGAAACAGTTTTTTCATTTAAAAAGAAAAATGTAAATAATAAAATGCCAGTTGCCTTTTTAAACTTAAAATGGCAAGATCAACTTGTTGAAATTTAATAAGGTAAGTCTTAATATAATGGGGAGAAATGTTTACAGTAGGGATAAGGAATATGGATTGTTCACCTGAAGTAAGGAAATATCTTTTATTTTTAGCCAAGTACACTTAAGATATAAAATTACATAACTGTACAATCAAAAGAAAAAATATTGCTTTGTTGCAGTGGTTTTATATCTTGTGTTATTTCTACTACTCAATTTTTAATGTGCCTGAATGGTGGTAGGAAAGGGAGACAATTTTTATTTTCATTTTTTTGCAATGCTAAAACATTTTTATAATTAGCTCTGCAGAAGAAAGTGAAGAAAACAATAACGAATTTATTCTCAACCTATGACTTGAGTATCGTCATTTGATTCACTGTTGCAAAATGTTGCAGGTTGTCCCCCCCGAGTAATTTTGTTTGTTTATTTCCATAATTCTAATATGATTCAAGCATGTAGTAATGCTTGTTACAAGTGTAATTAGTGCTTACAAAAGCCAATGTACTTGCACCTTTTTGGTGTTGGCTGTGATTTTGCTAAGCTGATTTTTTGATAATTTATACCTGAGAATGTTATAAAAAGATAAAAAAAAATATTTTTTGCAACTTTAATATTTAATTTAATTTTCTGCCTTGGAGCTTAATATTGAGTTATTGCTGTAATTTTGCTATATTTTTCTCTACAGAAATCCAACTTTTTATGTTATGTCATTGAAAAAGACAAGATGAGAAAATACTGTAAACCTGTAGTGGTCATAAGTGTGGTATCTCTTAAACTATTCAAGTATATGAAAAGCAATTTGAACATAGCTTCTGTTTATAATCAAATACTTATGATGTGTATGTACATTACCCATGTCTCACTTAAGCAGTATACAGATATATCAAAGTTATTTGGATATAATTTTGAACTGTAATGATCATTTGCAGAGAATCATTAACAGTTCTTAGTAGTTGACCTACATTGGCAAATATGATCAATAAAATATTTTGCAATATTAATACCTTTTAGGTTACTGATTGTTTCTTTGAGAAATTTTACTTAACCTTGAAATGAAAATTTAAAAGTTTCTTCTCACATTGTTTTAACTAAACCTTAATTTTCATGTACTTTTCAAAATGTTAATGACTAACATGTGGTATAAAGTCTTGAGGAATTCTGAATGCAGATCAGAATACTATTTATTTAGATTTAATGTAAAATATTTATGTAATTGGATTGTCATTAGCGTGGTTAATACAGATAGCTCAAAAAAAGAACTAATAAGCACTGATCTATTTGGTTAGGCATTCTATACATTTACTGAAATTGGTTGCCCAAATTGCTTTATTCTTCAAATTTGTTTAATATTTGCAGGAATATCTCCCCTTCATCCTTAACTGTCAGTTTCAGTTTACTGATTTTGGGCAATGTGTAGATATACTGTTTGGTTAAGATTGAGTATTTTTACAATGTGCAGTCTCAACAGAAATAATGGGAGGTTTTGCAAATGATTTTCCCATTACACAGTTATTGTTTGCTGTCTAGTCAGTAAAGTATCCGGTCACTTTCCTTGTTCAGAAAGATAAAATGGTGACACAGGTTTCATTTTCTTACATATACATTGAAGGAAAGCTGTCAAAACCACTGAGTACCAGTTACAAGTGGTCAGTTTGAACCATTAAATAAAATCAAATGTACATTGCATTGCTGTTTTTAATGTTATACCAAGAACGTTGAAGCTTAAAAAGAAGTTATTAAAATGTAAGTGATACATGAAAGAAAATTTGCTTCGTCACCTGTGTTCTCAACCACTGACAAAGTATTTCTTTCAGATTGATTTTGTTCTTCACAAATGATTGGAACTGCTTCAAGGTCTGTGAAATATTATTAAGAGCTTTGAATTGTTTAAAATTATTAGAGATACACATTCTGCACTTAATCTGCAAATGCTTGGAACTAAAGATTGCTGATTAGGTTGGGATTATTTTTCTGGGCTTGAAATAGTTGTTTGCTTTGAGAGGGGAGAAATTTATCACTGATGTTGGTATCCCACATTCACTGGTTTATAATTCTTGTGCTTAAAATGCAGATAGTATTAAATTTTTTTTTTTCATTTATGTTTGGTATATAAATAGTATTTTCCCTGACCTTGGATTTGCCTAGTGAAGGATTATAATCATAATGTTGTATAATGAATTTAAGGAAAATAGATTTTTTTTTTTTTTTTTACCTTTTCAAAAGCTGATCAAATGCTGATATTGATTAAAATCTTGCAAAGTAAAAAGAAAAAAAAATGTACAGGACAGATGTCCCTTATAATATGGAATGTACTTTGGTGAGAGTTGTAATATTATCAGTCTTCCAGAAGAAAACATTAAATTCTATTATACAAAATTTTAATAACTATTGAAGTCAAAAGTTACAACTTCTCGATAACTTAGCTTTTGAATTTTGTGTACACACAAGCAGGAACATTAATTCCTTATCTGATGGGCAACATCAAATATTTAAGAACATTGATACTATAGTGCTACTTATGTTTGCCCTAACTGATTTGCTTTTTTTTTTTTTTTTTTTTTTTCCTGTTGGTGTTATTGGAAAGAAAAGAAAAAAAAAGAAACAGAAAAAAAAAGAAACCCTATTACAGGATTTATTGAAAAATCCTGACGGGCTTGTTTATTTTTTCAGTGTGAAAATAAACTACGAAAAATAAAAATAAAAAAAACACAGAACAAAATTTGACTCTTGTTTTCATCGCAAAAAAAAAAGAAAATAAGATAAAAGAAAAATGTGTCTGTTTGGTATTTATGTTCAATGTATGTATGTACAGTGTAATCCGGATATAAGAATTGTCAGGATGGGAGAAGAAGCCTCTTATATATGGGTTTGGTCTATTTTATATACATTAACACAGGCTCTAGTTTGGGACCAGAGAAAATGTCTC